GGTCCTTGATTTCTGTATGTAAAGGTCTGCTGTCCAGGCAGTGGGACAGTTGGCTGTTTCATTTTATTTGGCTTGATTAACTTATTGGTGTTTTCTCTCTTTGTGGGGCGTCGGTGTATTTATTTTAACCTGCCAAGCTTCTCACCTGAAATCACCAGCCGTGTAATCGGAAAGCAGGGGGTGCATATCTTTTAGGGGGTGCATATCTTTCAGGGGGTGCATATCGTGGCTGTATCTTCACTTTCACCTTCCCTGATATCCCAAACTGACAGGCGTCTAGTGGAGTTTATGCTATTCTGATGCCAAATCACTGAACTTTGAGTGATTTTAAATAAAGGTAATAAACAGATCTTCTGGTTTTAATCAGGCCAGTCTCTGGTATTTCAGGATGCGCACATATTAGGTACCTCCGGTTGTTTTGAGTTAATTACGAACTTACACCATGCCATTGACGGTGTTTGCATTTTTGTGAGCTAACATGTCTTAGCGCTTACACCAAGTCTTACACAGAGCCAGTTCCTACTGACTGTGCTATTAAATATTCATGCTTTGCTGGCCTATAACCGCTATGCAAATAAATCAGCTTGGACAGCAAATATTTCTGATCTTCCCTAAACAAGTGAGAATATAACGTCCGCATTCCTTACAAGCTTACATGTCATTTTTTGTCCAACTCTGCCAGCCACATCGCAAGTAAATGCTTGCTAGTATTTGAAAAAGCTGTAAATCTGTCTATGGCAGATACTAATTCTACTAAACTGCATATATGAAGGGAACTATACAAAGATTCTCAGCTGCTGTGTAAAATATGAGTCTTGGATTCTTAATACAAGTGCACCTAATTAAGCAAAAGTGATAATCCACACTCTAGCAAAACACACATGCATGTGGTTAAGGGAATTCATTTGGACTTAGTGAGATTACATTCATAAATGCTGAAGTGTGGAAGTCCCCTGAATTGCAGAAAGTTGAGGATAATTTTCAGTGTCTCAGACCGAGATTGTTTTGTGGCATTTTCATTTTGTGTGTGAGAGAGTTAAATAGGACAGTGAACTCAAACCTGCTTTTGATATCCAAATAATACTCTTATATTACTATGAACAGATACATCTGTAAACACAGGGCCGTTTTACAGTTGGATGAAAAGGAAACTTTATTGTAGTCATATGTGGTGTAAGTAACAAAGAAATAACAGCACTTACCTAAAACGTTATTGGACGTTGTGGGACAAAGCGTGTTGTGGTTTTATTGCATTAGGCCTGGGCTGTCATTTGAGGTTTATTTGCAGTTCCCTCAGAGAATCGCCAGCACAGTCAGGCCTGTTCACGTTTCATTCCATCTCCTTTATTCCACCTTGCTTCCCCGCAACGGCCGGAATTGTCTGGATCTGCCAAACTATATCTAGATCATTTACATAATTGCTAGTTATGCTCTACATGTTGTCTTTTTTAACTGCATTTTTATAATCATTGGCAAAATTTGTAATGCACTGCAAGAGAAATATTGCTGATGAAATTTACTGGGGGAAATGTAACTGGTAGTTGGGTGGCAGTATATTATATAAAATCATTAATATAGTGGATTTTTTAATTTCATTGTAGGAAAGCTGATTTTGCCATTCAAATATTGAGGATTATCACCCCCTTATATTTAATATGTATGTATGTATTATTATTATTGTTGTTATTATTATTAGCCTATTATTATTGTTGTTGTTATGCTTTATGGTGGTTGGTGATTGGGTGACTATTTCAATGTTATTGTTTTGATTGTTTTCCACTGCAATGCGCCGTGTACATGATGTTAAACCAGTTAAAGGAAGCGGAGGAGGTCTACGTGGTGTAACAGAGGTAATGCGCGTGCTTCTAGTACCTGTTCGGGTTTGAGATAATTAACAAAAAAAACTCCAGTGGCAAAATGTCATAAATGCGTAATTTAAAGGCGAATGGTATATAGAACAAATGTAATCGTAAGAAGTTTGCCGCAAGAATTTTTTAATTATATGAGTAGCCTGAAAATAATTATTTTTCATTATTTTGTATTATAAAATTTCATACGTATTATGTTTGTATTTTATACACAAATAGATCATATATGCTAACAAATACGTAATACTATTGATTGATATTTTAATTGACATAATGATTAAATATGGTTGTTATGGTTATTATTCCTTTTCTGTTTAAAAATACTTGGCATTATTTCACGTCTTATAGGAATTGTGATGATTCGTAATTTCAGTATTTGACGCCAAAAGCAGTTCAATGCAGTAAAATCCAAATTTGTATCAGGGCTAAACTGTGCAATTAATTTCTCAGGATTGTGTGTTTGGAGAAACGTCTGCGCTGCGCTGAAAGGCGTCTGATGATGCTCGCGGGAACGTTTGCGGATGCACTCCTTCTGATTTCTATTATGTTGACCCGTGTTCGGATGCCAAGAACTCCGTGTGGGATCCAGCTGCTCTCATTTTCTCTCGCCACTTCCTTCACACTGCAGCGATGGAAATCCATCGACGCCTGTAAGTCTGTTTAGAGCCAGTGGGTTTGAACTCCACAAAAACACACTTTTAACTCGTTTTTTACTGGACGGGGGAAGCTGCAGTGATGGCCCGAAGTGTTGAAAACAAAGCTTTGAGAGTGAGGAGGTGGCGTCCCGTAACATTCTGCAAAAGCTGCAAAGGCGAAAAACCGCAGAATCCAAAGAATTTACAAAAATATGCACGTTTCCTACAAACGCTGTGTTAACGCTCCAACACTGCTATTATCATATGCCGGCATTTATACAAAGAAACGCGCAGGCCTGTTAAAACACTATCATTATATAAATGGTATGACAAATGAAACAGTAACTACAGTATTACTCTATTGCATCTATAAGAAATCCTTTCCGGAGTTTTCCCACAAAGCAAGTATAATTTACAATTAAACTTAAACATTTCACAGGAAATCCATTATTCATTAAACTCCACGAATTCATCCGATAGTGACATGTCTCAGTAATGGATTGTCTCAGTGTGCAAATCCTTATCCTTCTTCAGTTGACCGGGCCCGTGGATAACAAGACACCTGTCGTCGCAAAGTAGGCACACAATAGAAGATGCGGTGAAACTTGTGGTAAACCTGCACGTATGGCAATCTGGGATGTATTTGTATTTCTTACGCCAATTGTGTGGGCGTTGCGATTTCAGCATATAATAAATTAAGCGTCAAGATTGTTTGCGCTGTTTGTAGAGAAATCTACGCAAGATCTAATGCGTTCAGCTGCAGCAAACATGATTTCAAGTCTATATAACGTGCTACAAACACGACTTAATTGTTCATATTCTCACCACACACTCGGAACAAGTAAGCTAAAGGAATATTCAGTGGAAATCTTTTCATCACACCAATTTATCTTAATGTTTCTAGGAAAGCTTAGTCTATCGTGCCTGCAGGCTAACTTAGACTGTGTTACACTTACTTCACTTGCAATAAATCTGTCAAACTTGTCTAAAGTTAATAAACCATGGTGTCTTAATTAATCATTGAAACTACGAAACAGAAGCAAGCTGTAAAATCTGAACCCTTTGTCTCTATAACTCAAAGCCGACTACAAAAAGTATGTATCCGGTTTCTGTTCGTGTATAAGTGGACCCCAGCATTTCGGATTCTATAGGCTCATTCAGATACATCGAATCCAGTGAAAAAGTAACGCAACACTTCACTGAAAATATTGATTATATTTCCTACTGTTTCATGCCTTCGGGTTATTAAATAATACGTAAATATAAAACACAACGCCGGCAATAAAAAAATGTCTTCGTTTCCATTAAATGCTCCATGACATACAGTTCGTTATTCCTACCTCATTGTGGCAATGTCCAAACGAAAGGGTCATTTTTTTATAATCCGAGGGAAATACAACCAAGAAAACAAACAGTGTGATTTATCATATATATATATACCTTTCTGTCATCTATAGCTTGGCTTGGAGTTTTTCGCCAGAGTTCACCTTCAGAAATGGTTATCCCGCCCGACTGTGCACTTTTAAATCCCCAAGTAAATAACAACCTTGGTAATAATAGCAAGGTACCAAGTTCTTGTCATAGAAAGGGAGAAAATTGAAACTAAACGCTGCATTTAGACAACCATTTTGATAAGAGGATAATTGAGGCGACACTAGTGTATAATTAGCGGATAATTTATGCTATATCCACTTTTATTCCATCTCCCAAAATAAACCCAGTACATAATCATTACAGGAGAATTGTTCTTAATTTTATAGCGGCAATTTGAATAAAGTGTAGCGGTTAATCAGAGAAGAATTGTGTATAACTGATTGTGACCATAATTATTTTTTTCTACCATTTTAAAATAAATTAATACCACATTATGAAAAAAATGTGTTGACAATAAAATAGAAATCAACTGAATTGAGAATTAAGAGACCTTAATAGAGCATAGGTACTTCGCACTGATAGTTTATATTGTGACCAAGATATGCCAGACCGCTAACCGCACGTATAATCTGCATACATTTGGAACAGAAGCGCCTGTTTTCAATAGGGAGACAATTTGCTGTCATTTCTCTAGGAATCCAGGACCGTCTTAATATTCAGACCATAGGCGATTCAGCAGTCTGACATAGACAAAAGTGATTCGTTTAAAACAAAATGATTTGTAAACGTATTTAAGGGGGTGAGAACAGTTTTTTAAAAACTAAAATAAAATGTAAAAAATCTCATATATTTTATATTTTTACTCGCTAAAAAATACACTACACGTTCTAGATATACTGGACATGGATGTTTAAATTGATCACTTTCAGATTTTAAGTTTCATCTGAACCTAAAAATGCCGTGAAATTTATCGTGAAAACGTAAAATAAACCTGTGTAATGCAGAGTGATGCTGCACATTGAAGATTGTCTCTATGGCGGATATAAGAAAGATCTCCCGCCATTAAATTCCCCTGAAGTGTGGTTACGGCTACGGTGGGAGCTGGTAAGGTGGGTTAACTCACCGTGAAGTCTCCGAGAAGCACAGTACTGATGACGTTGGGTTGAATGACCAATCGGAAGGCGCTGCCCTTTGGAGACAAACCATTTTACTTGTAGTGTCTGCATCAAGTCTAGAAGCAAGGACTCAAATTTAACAGAATCCACCTTAAATTCCCTGCCTTAACTCCAGCCCACCTTCTGCCAAACCGAGTGAGAAATTCAGAAGCAAAAGGAGCGGTGAAATTTGGAGTTAATAAGCCAATATCCCTTCACTGAGGGGGAAACACAAGCACTGCGAGGAGACTCATTTGGACTTGAGAGAGGGTAAGTGCTCTCAAAGCAGAAAATTTGATGATGACCATGACTACGATGGCGGACGGTCTGGAAGCTCAAGACTCGTCCAAGTCTGCTTTCATGGAGTTTGGTCAGCAGTCTCATTCTCAGCAGAGCTCCCCGTCTATGGCCGCCAGCCACTACCCGCTCCACTGCCTTCATTCCGGCTCTCACTCGCATCACCAGCACGATAATTCCCCGTACTCCAGCACCAATTCCTACAACAGATCGCTACCTTACTCTTACGTGAGCCATTCCCACCACAGTCCATACTTATCATCTTACCACAGTAACAACACTGCCGGCCAGACACGGTTAGATGTCACAGGTAAGATTTTTTAAAGTCTTCATCATCGATTATATTATTATGTACTACATTACAATGCATGTCGATATGTAGCCTATTTGGCAATGAATTCCTAATATAATTCGTCATATTAGAACGATACGTCGAATTTACGTTCGGATGAATGCCGATGATGTTTTATTAATTTCTTAAAGCTGAGAGATGGCTTTTTAAGTCCGCTATTTTTGTTTTGCTTCACTTGGTCCTTGAATTTTATTGTTCGTGATCAGACACGTCAGTTACATAGACTCATGTAACGCTTATTTTGCACGAAATTGTTCCACTTTTGAAGGTTGCGTTACCATGTTCGTCTTTGAATAGTTGTCATCGAATAAACTCCATTGTCGACCACTAAAAACTGAGATATCTTTGAAAACATCTTCTTTTAGCCTGAAACGTTCTTTTCAAAATATAGATGCGGCCATTTGGATTAAATGGATTGCGGATCCGTTAATACAAAGCATGACAAATATTTCTGATTATTTATTTATTGATATATTTCATTTAACCCACATTTATTTCGTGGCAATGTGATTAGGTAGTTTGTTGTCGTATTTACGCTGTCTATCAAGTGACATTTCCTGTCCTTCGTTTAGAGCAGCAGAAAACGACAGTGATTGAAAACGGAGAAATCCGATTTAATGGAAAGGGGAAGAAGATCCGAAAACCTCGCACCATTTATTCAAGTTTGCAGCTACAAGCTTTAAATCACCGCTTCCAGCAAACACAGTACCTTGCGCTTCCAGAAAGGGCAGAACTTGCAGCTTCACTTGGGCTTACGCAGACACAGGTATTATTATTATTATTATTAGGCTATTATTATTATTATTATTATTGTTGTTGTTGCTGTTGTTATTATTCGTTGTAGTAGTAGCAGCAGTAGCAGTAGTGGTAGTAGTATAATTACTAGTTTTAGTAGTAGTAATACACTAATGATGCATGTGACATTTTCATTAGTCTTTTTAACTAATTGAACTAAATGTGCATATCCTATACATGGGCCTAGATAGTGATATAAAGCTGTGACGTATATTAACTAATTGCACAAACGCCTCTTGCGTTAAATTCAATATGGAGACCAAGTACGTCATAATAACTGAACCCCGCAATGTGTATTTATTTGTTTGTTTGTTTGTTTATTTTGTGGGATACGGTGTTTTTGCTTGTTTGATTTTGTTCTGCTCCACAGGTAAAGATATGGTTTCAGAACAAAAGATCGAAATTTAAGAAGCTGTTGAAACAAGGCGGCAACCCCCACGAGAGCGACCCGCTACCCGGGTCCATTGCCTTGTCACCCCGTTCCCCGGCAATCCCGCCAATATGGGACGTTTCGGCAACCACTAAAGGAGTCAACATACCAGCCAGTAATTACATGCCTGGATATTCTCACTGGTATTCTTCTCCGCATCAAGACACAATGCAGAGATAGGCTCCCAGAGAAAGCAACAGGTAGGCCAGAGGCCTGGATGAAGTGGTCCTTTTGGAAACCAGTTTTTCCTGTATATGTGATTGATGACGTCTTAAAAACAAGTCAGTCGCCGCCGAACACAACAAAGGACTTGCAAAGAGGATACAAGCACTGAACGGCTTATCTGAAAACACAAACTCCAAAGGAATAAACAGCATGTTTAACTGCTCCTGATTGTTCCATGGGATTGCCTCTACCTTGCTCTTGTTTCTTTAAAGTGGACTTTTTAATACCAAAAATATCGCAGATCAAGAACAGTCTTTAGAAGGCGTTTCACGTGAACTTACGTGAAATTACGTTTCTTAAATGGACCGAAATTGTCTTTGCATAACGTTTTACTCTTTTTTAATCAAAGCAAAGCAATCTGTATATGTATATATTGTCCGACTTTAGTTGTACATACTTTTTATGTTTTGTCTTTCATTAATGGAGTAAAATATGACTTTAAATTTCGCCTGGTCGTGTTTGATGTCAAAAAAGGAATGAAGTGTTATCTCTAAATGGGACGAGGTCTATGTTATCTGTAATATCTCGTTATTTTTTTACCGTGATTTGTTCATTATTGTGGGTACCAGGGTCATGGACACGCTGTTTAATTACTCGAGCGAAGACTACGCGATAAAAACCATGTAAAATTAAGCATAATTACGTAAAACACGTCTCTAATACATAAAAGCTCATATAATCTCAGGAAGGTGTACAGTGCTGCCAAACATTTAAAAAAGTTGACAAAACACACTAAAATATTGTCTTAAATATTATCATGTCAATACTAACCATAAATTAAAGACAATAGAAAACAGACTTACCATAATCTGTCTGTTAATATTTTCCCCGTTGAAATCGGTTGCCTTTCGTCCAGTCAATCTTGCCATTTTCTAGTTCAATTATTGGAGTATTGACAAATTTTCTCTCCCTCTTTCTCCTGCATTCACTATAAAACCCTTGATGCCAAGCGCCACAGGATCGATTCTGAACAAAGCATCCAGCTGCAGTCCCGTTCAATATAGACGAGATATTTGGGACAATTTATGGTTTTTATCCACGAGAAGCTTTTTTTCTCCCCCATTCTCATAAATGCAGGCGTAATTAGAGTAATTTTTGATGTGGCCCACTGATTACAGCGTTTTTACCGTCAAAGATAATTACCTGTAATTTTCTACCACTTTTAATACTAAAAGGCATCTTTATTTGGATTTGAGGTAGCAAAGACGAAACAAAAGACAAAATTATTCTGTTATTCATTTACAAATTGCAAGAAGAGTGAACGCGGGGGAAATTATCTGAAATTACAATGTTGAAAAGTAGAATGAGCCAGCCGTGTGCAGCTGTCACGTCTTATATGCTGAGCGCACGTTATCTTTTTTCTTCCTTTAATGAATAGAATCTCACATACAGGGAGCCGAAAATCTGTTGTATATCAAAATAAAATCTTTTGAAGGTTTTCACAAATTGCCATTTTCATGTGATTGTATGAAGGCTCTTGTACATGACAGGGGCCCTGCTCGGTCTATTTTAAGAATGATCTGAAGACATTCATTTTTATTTATTATTATTATTTTTTTATTTATAATAAGAATGGAAATGATCGTTATTTTTGACCACTTCTTTCTGTTATCTTACTTGGTCATGTCCTGTGTGGAAGGCGTCTTCGGGAGTTTAAAAGGAACTTAAGGATGAGTACTGAGAGCACAGAGAAAGCGGGAGAGAGTGAGAGAGAGGCGGGCGGACTGGAGGACGAAAGACAACGTTACACACTGGATACAACAGGTTTGCGTGCTTTATCATTGTGATCAGGTAGGGCATAGCCGATAAAGATCAATACCGAACACAGATCCAAAATGCATTCAACGACATGATTATGCCGATATCATTAGGATTTTAGGGTAACAAATAGGCTAAATGAAATCTATGCTTTCTAGTTTATACCACAATAAAAAAAGGAAGAAATGGAATCTGCTTAAATTTAATCAATCAGAAATGTAGCAAAAGCCGGGCAATATATCATCTGGATTTTCTGTAACCTGCGTTCTGTAACTACCTGCGTTTTTCTTCTTGCCTTCGACTGACGAATTTATGCCAAGGTTTCACCGTTTGGCCGGTTTTCACAATATTCTGATGATTTAATTGACAATTCTTTTTTTGTTGATAAAAAAATTATTTCCATTTGTCAAAAAACAATTAAACAGCAGCAAAATACCATACAACAACTGCGTTTTATAATGTTGTCTAAATGCGTAGCCATTGCTCAGTTTTATATTTTGTTTACTACATGTACAACATTTTATCTCCTATGAAACATAACGCAGAACATGAATTCATTTTTAAACAGTCGGTTACATAATCACGAAAACATTTTGTGCACATTTTCTCAATGCAAAAGAAAAAATATAAAAACCAATAATAATAACACTGCAAGCCTACCTTGATCTGTGCGCTATTTCGAATACGTTGCAACGGTGACATAGAAGAGGAGCCGAGACGAGCACTTTGCAACGACTGAGCCCGAGTCTGTGTACGGCTCTTGGTTGAGTAAGCACATCCAGGTGTGAAATTGTTTGCACACCCCAGCACCTCTTATATTGCCAGCAAAATTAGCTGTTATTACTGTCACTGTTTAGTGATGGTGAGGTAGAAAAAAGCCTTCTGTAATCAAGACTAGGCGCATCTTTGTAAATTATAGATAATTGTAAATGTCCAGATTATGATAATGGATTCCTAATCCTGGCGGAAGCATAATTATTGTTGAGTGTTACAGTTGAGGCTGTCCAGTAAAGCTAACTCATTATTAGACTCGATTTTCCAGTGCAGATGGACTTGCTGAGTGGAAAATGTTTAGTTGAAATTTAACAGGGCACTCAATGTGATGCCATAATACGGGGACGGGGATATGCAGTGATACATCGAGGATGGGTGATCAAATCAATCACATTAAGAAAGCAACAAATGACAACATTATGTGCAATTAATTTTTGGTGGGCCTCACACGTCATTTATTTTTGCATAAGATTTTCAATTATCTCCTTATACGATATAGCTTTCAGTTACATTTCTTTTTACGGTCCTCGGTGTACTGTAAAACGCACTGCACGTGAGTAGTACAAGAACATTGCTATTTTTTGCGTAATATTAATCAATTAGGTGAAAGTGTCTTTAGGATTTAAGATGTCGTTCATAGCATTATAATATTCTAATCATTGGGCCTACGTGGTTCTCAAACGTCGTCGGGCCTGAGTACTTGTGCATGCTTGTCTTCGAGAGGGAAAGCGAGGGAGTGCGAGAACCGAGGCGTTTTAAGGAAGGGGGGACACGGCGTGATGTTTTTTTTTTTTTACAGGACACAAACGAGGAATATGTGCTTGAATCTGAAGTCGTTTGTTACTTGAAATCCAAAACTGAAAATAACAGGTCCACCACAGAGTTTTTGAGGTACAGGCATTTCATTCAAAATATAAATCGGTTATAGGCCTATTGTCCACCAACAAGACAAATATTTCATGGAGCGATAAAGGTCTAATAATCGTCTTTAATTGTTCAATATGAGTGATTAACAGATGTCAATACATTCTATTAGAGAGTGAAACCAATGAATTGTAAATATTCCGTTTCAATTGACGTTTTATAACCACACGATGTCTGTATAAAAATATTCCACTATACTGCTGTATCACTCAAAAACTGACACGATTCAATAGAAAAGAAACAATATACGAGCTAGGCCTATATAAATGTAACACAATAATTGCATAAAGCTAGAAAAAAGTTCGACCCTTTAAGACAGTACCAACTGAGTTTGACTGAGGTGGGTTGTGGTCGGGAGTGGCAGAACGCTAGAGCCGGTCCGCCCCCACAGGAATGCGGATTGCCTCAGATCTCTGTGCCGCCCCTTCGCCTCCTTTCTGCCATTCAAAGAAACTAATTGTAGAGGATACAAAGAAAGAGACTGCCAGAGCGACACCATTTTCTTTGAGGGGGGAGGTTGGAATCCAGATGTAAGTATATGAGCTGTATGTAACTTAATTAAAGCAATAAAATAAAATGACAAAATTACAAATTGTCAATTTCAGATTAAGAATTGGAAGATGATTTGATTTTAAATGTATCGTGATTGAAATTTCCGTTTCGGTGCTACACAAATTGACATTTAGAGCTCAACTACAAGTGGCATTGCCTACGAGATTTAATGTCAGCAGACACACACTGTTAGAAAAGCCGTTATTTAGAGAAAACGTTCAATGGGAGATGCATAATTACTGGTATTGGCAAGCCAGTAAATATTAGTCTATACTTCTCCATCGTTGTCCTCGGTAGCATATTTTGTTTCTAAGATTGTCTGGCTACCATAAGTATAGACGCGGAAAAAGAAAGCAATCCCCTTTTAAAGGTGAAAACCTTTTTAATACAATGGTAACATGATAATCAGTAGAGTTCCGTGATTTGTAAATATGAATGTGACACCTTATATCGAGCTCAGTTTGCACTGCCAAACCGTATATGCCTTACAAAAAAATCATAACATTACTTATTTATATCCAACACAGTCATTCCTATCTATTTAAACTTTAATAACAGTTTCCAGTTTACATGCAGACCGTAAGTGCACATCTTGTCAAATGGGCTTCGTGTTTGTAATTTTTAATTTCATGTCATTAAAAAAAACATCTTTATCAAAAAATATATATCCACAGAAATAACAATCACTAAATTTCAGAAATCATAGTCACACTACGGACCAAATTTACATTACACAAAATCATTTGGTGACTCAAATGATCACATTTTGAAGCCAATAAAATCAACTCTAAACAATGATTTAATTAATTCAGGTGGAGTCTCAGTTAATTTAATAAGGTAGGTGAGGGTGGACATTTTTATGTATTGCGGGGGACATTTATTTCACGTTGTGGTTTTTAACCGCTGCAATGCAAAGTGATATAGCTCCGGGGAAAAAGAGATACCGCTGAGGTCAAGATTCAAGGCACCACTGAGAGTTTTCGGAGTTTCACGGTCCGTTTGGAACACAAGTAATAACTCTTCCAAATGCAATAAATTACATGCACACATTTACACATTTTACACTTTCTCCTATAACTGCCATTTCAATACATTGCATATTCCTTAAAAACTTAAACATAAGTCCAATACATTTAAATATTTAAATAGCGCTTCAATACAGCGTCCCTGATCCGAGAACCAATGAGTGTTGTATCGAGTTGGGGGGCTGTAGGTGAGGGTTAAGGGTACCAGCTGTGGAATACCAAGAAGCGGAGTTGTCCAAAAACGTCGACTGCGCCGTGCTTATGTTCTGCTGATGACTGTGAGGCCTGGGGGGGCCTTGAGAGTCCCAGACGGCCGGGGATTGGGGAGAATTACAAGCCATGGGATCACTGGAACTGGGGCTGTGTTCGGGAGGCAGCTCGCCGTTCTTCATTATCTTCTTCAGTTTGGACCTCTTGTTCTGAAACCAGATTTTCACCTGACAGAAAACATACATTTAAAATTAAAAGACTTTTACGAGGCAAAACGTGTGCAGATATAATAGAGTTATGCAAAAACATTTCACGCGGTAATGAAGCATTTTGTGCAATTTAAACAGAAGTGACAAAGTACAGAACACCGACATTACCTAACCTAACTAATAAATATCGACCGTGAATTCCTTTTTAGAAAATGTAATTCCACCCGATACGGTGCTGTAATATAAACGAAGCCGTATCGTGCACTTATATTTTACTCCAACTATAGGCAATGACATTAGAACTGGTCCAAACGTAAATCTCTCAGAAACGCTTACAACTTTACTAGATATTAAGGACAATATTAATTTAAATTCGAAAGCGGGGCTGTGACATGACAATACCTGCGTCTGTGTGAGTCCCAAGGAGGCCGCGAGCTCCGCTCTCTCGGGAAGCGCAAGGTACTGAGTGTTCTGAAATCTGCGCTGCAGAGCCGCCAGCTGAAAACTCGAGTAAATGGTGCGGGGCTTTCGCACCTTCTTCGGTTTGCCGTTCACCATTCTCACCTCAGGCTCCGACACTTCTTTTTCTGAAAATAATTTAAAGACTTTAAGTTATTATAAGATCTTAGATAAGCATAACGTGTTTGTGTCTATCAGCAAACATGCATTAATGCATTTTGTCAAAACAACATTCTTCAATCTCGTTACGGACAAAGTTAAAATGCATTGCAAAACAAAGCGCACAACACGTATTAGTAGTGATGTAAAATTAAAAACGTTTACCTTGAAATTAACTTGTTATATGAAGCTAGACTAAAATGTACTGCATCCGAATCATCCAGTCGAAACATATTCAAAAGATAAAAAGGTTTTGTTTTAACCTTTTTAATCAGGACTACGTTTTAAAATTAACACGCTCACAGACTATATTGAAGTTGAAATTGAAATGTCTATGCCTATTACTAAAATGTTATTACATTTTGGGGGGATTATTCCAATTTCTTATGGCAGCACAGTTAAGAATTTTTTAAATAATAGGCCTAAATTCTGAATAACACTAACGCTAATTTGTAAAATTCAAAAAGACTAATACGGCAACTTGTAGTTGTATTAATAACAAAATAACCGACAATAAAAACAATGACAAAAACGTACAATATAATAATAATAATAATAATAATAATAATAATAATAATAATGATTTTACCTTGCGGGCTTACTTGGGCTTGCACTCTGTTATAAGATCCAGTATATTGGTGGTAAGCTGCGCTCGAGTATGTTGTATAATCTGGATATGATTTTGCTGGATAATTTCCACCAGATCCGTTTACCCCGTGGTACTGGTACTGATAGGCATTGAGAGCTTTTCCATATGAAGCCGAACTAGGTGAGCAATAACCATGGTGAACGCCACCGGCGGGGCTATAGTAGCCAGAATCCGTTGCCGTTGGTTCGGGCAAAGTCGGAGATTCCTGAGACGGGTGGTGCATGGCGGAGATCTGAAAGGGATTCTGAAACTCTGTCGATTTGATAGTCGGAATCCTCCTGTCGAATACTCCAGTCATATTTCGAATGGCACTGCTGCTGCTGCTGCTGCGACGTGACGGAAAGCCTTCACAAGCACAATCTACACTGTCATCGCGTGTGCTGAGCTGACGAGCTCTACTGCAGACTGCAGCCAACCACACAGCAAGGACTTAGTTAAATCCCAAATTGCGCTCTTACGCACTGCGAGGATGATTTGGTTCCATTGGCCGAATCGACCAGCTAGCTACACCCCAAGTCGTCCAACCAGTTTGGCAAAAACAAAGCTTATTAATACTCGTATTGTGTGTTTTTCTTAGCCATAACAACCCGTGCTTAAACGGACATCTTAGTAAATCAGCCTTTAAGGAATATATCTATGTATATTAATCCTAAGTATATAGATAGTTTATAGATAGGCTATACATTGTTTAAAATCGGAATTTCTGCGCGATAAAATGAATTAATTCTGTTACGACTTTCTAAATCATACTAAATATTTCGCTTCAGAAATCAATGAATACAAAATGAGAAATTTAAAATTTATTTCAGGAATGAGCATTACCTAAAACAAATAAGACAGACAAATAACCGGAGATTCACCTAAATGTAAAACAAGCCATCTTAATCCAGCGTATATCTATCTATCTATCTATCTATCTATCTATCTATCTATCTATCTATCTATCTATCTATCTATGTTTGTGTGTCTGTCTCTCTGTTGCTCGGTCTGTCTCTGTCTGCCTGCCTATCGCTCCACACTAAATAACTCAGGTTATATTTGCTAGTGTAGTTTGCACGTGACTTCAAAATCTATAATGAATTAAATATTTTATTATTTGAAATGATTATATTGAAGATTTATATTGCGTATAAATTGCTAATATGTCAAATATGTGTTCCTAAATACAAACTACAAAGACGATCACACTGTAAAAAACGATGCGCGCGAAAGAAAGTGTATCTTGTGGTAAAATGGCGCCCCTTAGTGACAAGAAAAAGAATTAATATTTGTAGAAATCAGTGCAGTGTTTTTAATGAAACTTAACTACTTTCCGTGTTTAGATACAATGGAAATACAGTTCATTTACATTATGAACTGTGCATCATTACCATCTTGAAAATAATTTAAGGCAGTCATTCGTGTTGAAGCTAATGGGATGGAAATTTCAGTGGGAAAATATTTGCCGATGAGGTATTACGAAAGAAAACGTTATATTTTAAAAATAGTACAAACACTAAAACGTAATATAAATAAAACAGTTTAACACAGAAAAAAAGATTCGTAAAATTTAATTGATAAAGGTACCATGGCACCAGTACGTGAAAATGCAAACTTTTTCAATGGAGTATTAACGTACCTTAGTTTAGAATTAAACATATTAGCATATAGAACTAAATTTTGTTGTAAAGCTACGCTGGACAAATGCCATGTTATTTAAATTAAGAAGTCTTGAGATTTAGGATATAGACACGTTTTATACATAATAGCCTAATGCACATATAGCACAATATCTTAATTAAAACCTGTATTAATTACACAATCGTTTTAATCATTTAATAATATAATCATCTTATTAAACCCGCAATCCTTTGGCTGTTATGTGTCCATGATACACAGTCATTCGCGGTCTCTTTATTCTGTCTTGTGATATCGTGTTTTATCTGTAGGCTATTATAAAGTACAGTTAATGATGAGAATCCCATAAACGAAGAAAAACGAAGTATAACTGCATATGGCACTTCCATTTAACTGACTTTGTATTCATGATGGATTTATAACGAAAGTAGCTTGTAAATTATAGTCTACATCAGGGGTGAATTTCCCTACAGCTCAGTGACGCTAAGAACCTTCCTTGTCTTGTAAAAGCACTTAAAATCGTTCGTTACCCACTGCGCATAGTGACGTCGGAATGACATCTTTAATATGTCGTTTTTGGACGTCCAATTTTGGTCCACTGAAGGGGTTGTTTTGTAACGCCAGGCGACGTCTTTTTTTGACGTCTAATGAACGTCTAGTATTGACGGCCGTGGGACCTCCATGTATGGGCTATTTATAGTCCAAATGTGGTC